CCCACTTTCAATTTCTACACATCTCCTCTGTATTTCTTCATTATGAGGTCTTGCGGCTGCCCAGATAAATTTTGCAAGCTGGGGAGGGGAAATGAGAATTTGCTCCTTCGCCCGGCTTTGGGGAAGGCAGAGAAATGCGTTTATGAATAATCGGGAACCGCTTTCAAAACATTTCAAGCCCCCTTGAAATATTAAGCATCCTGTTTATGAGGGCAGTGAAATTGCTTGTTTTCGTACTCTGCGCGCTCCAAATCTGATTTATTGTTGCGATATTATTCAGATTCATTCTGTTTACGTCTTTGTCATGATCGCAAATAAAACAAACGTTTTTTAAACCAAAGTAAAAAAGCAAAGCTTTTTTTTTTTTAAAAAAAAGCCATCAGAATATACACTTGAAGTTTTCCAGCTTACATCATAAGATTAAACTCAAAAGATTCTCTTTAACTATTATTAAAATAGTCCAATGCATAAGAATCAGTATTCTTATAGCTGCTGAAAACGTTATGTGGAGTCTTTTACGCCGCCTGGGTGCGTGGGTAGAGTTTTACAGAAACCACAATACAGATGGTGCAGCTGAGGCCAAACTTTCTATTGCTAAGTCGTTAAGTGAGTTTTGCCCCATTTTACGGCCTTTCTTGCCACAGTTGTTTAGTGAAGCGCTAAGTTGATTAGTTAGTAACCTGGTTGTTAAGTGGATCTGGCTTCCCCCATTGGCTTTGCTTCTCAGAAGCTCACAAAAAGGGGATCCCATCACCCCGAGACACAGCAGTGGTCACAAGTGTGAACCAATTGCCAAGTGTCTGAATTTTGATCACGTAACCGTGGAGATGCTGCAACGGTCGTAACTGTGAAAAACGGTCCTAAGTCACTCGTTTCAGTGCTGTTGCAGCTTTGAACGGTCACTAAACGAACGGTTGTAAGTCGAGGACTGCTTGTACTGTTGTAACCCCTCAATTGGTAGGCAGCCTTGGCTCTTTTATGACTGGTGGACTTCAACTCCCAGAATTCCTGAGCCAGCATGGAGGAACTATGGCCCCTTCATGACTCGAGGACTTCAACTCCCAGAATCCTGAGCCAGCATGGGGGAAACTTTGGCCCCTTCATGACTCGTGGACTTCAACTCCCAGAATTCCTGAGCCAGCATGAGGGAACTATGGCCCCTTCATGACTTGTGGACTTCAACTCCCAGAATCCTTGAGCCAGCGTGACTCAGCTTGGAAACCTCTCCCTTTCCCCTCAGCATGGCTGGCTCAGGAATTCTGGGAGTTGAAGTCCATGAGTCATAAAAGGGGGAAGTTTGAAAACCCCTGCCCTAATGTATCTTTTGGAGCAAAAATTAATATAAGACCCGGTCTTATTTTCGGGCAAACACAGGGTATAAGCCAACGGTAGGCCACCTTGTCTCTTTTATTACTGGTGGACTTCAACTCCCAGAATTCCTGAGCCAGCAAGGGGGAACTGTAGCCCTTTCATGACTCGAGGACTTCAACTCCCAGAATTCCTCAGCCAGCATGGGGGAACTATGGCCCCTTCATGACTCCTGGACTTCAACTCCCAGAATTCCTGAGCCAGCATGGCGGAACTATGGCCTCTTCATGACTCGAGGACTTCAACTCCCAGAATTCCTGAGCCAGCATGGCTCAGCTTGGAAGCCTCTCCCTTTCCCCTCAGTGTGGCTGGCTCAGGAATTCTGGGAGTTGAAGTCCACCAGTCATAAAAGAGCCAAGGTTGCCTACCCCTGCCCTAAATGAAGACTTTTAAGTCGAGGACTCGCTGTGATGAGAATGCAGGCTCTGCATCTCTTTGGGAAAATGGAAGATGTGATTTATTGCATTGCGAAGGACTCAAAGCTGATGAGGAGACGATTTTGAGCCTCTTTTGTGTGTTTGGAGCCCTGGTGGCCTTAAGGGAAAACAGCAGCCAGGCTGCCAGCCCAGACTGGAAGCAGCCCTCCAGAGCATGGGGAGGGGTCTTTTGGAGCCCCCGCTGGGGCTATGTCAACCCCTGGCATTGCAAAGCTGCCCCCTTGACCTCAAGGAAGTAACACTCTGGGTGATGTAATGTGATCAGGAGCAATTAGCTGGAGACAGGGGTCTGGGATATGTTGCTGGGGGATCTTGGGAAAACCCCCCCCCCACCCATGCAGCTGTTGGCCTGGATTCCAAGGAACAGCATCCCCCATCACAAAGGGGTCTCTTGTTGCTGCTGTAAACACAACCATCTGCCTCGTTGTCACCCTGTCCAGTCTTGCAGAAAGTGGATGGGGCTCCTTAGATCCGCTGTCTCCAAGCTGGGTGGCTTTAAGAACTGGTGGACTTCAACTCCCAGAATTCCCCAGCCAGCTCCAAGCTGGGTGGCTTTAAGAACTGGTGGACTTCAACTCCCAGAATTCCCCAGCCAGCCATGCTGGCTGGGGAATTCTGGGAGTTGAAGTCCACCAGTTCTTAAAGCCGCCCAGCTTGGAGACCCGTGCCTTAGATAACTTTCCAGAATTTCTTGGTTCTCTGATTAAAATGTGTTTAAGTGTAGCCAGGGTCGTTGTCTAAGAACAGCAGCCCAGAGATCTATGGGGCGGGAGGCCTGTAGATTGTGAAACCCAAGCGCACTTGCACAGGTTGCGATACCTCTGTTGTGGTTTCACAAGTTCACATCTTGGCCCCGAACAGCAGCAGCATCCGATGCTCCTGGTTCCGTTGCAGCTTCTGATCCCAGCCAAACAGAAGGGGTAATCCTCGACTTACGACTGGGAGCTACGGGGAGGGGTCTGCTTACGACCTGATGCAAAGTTCCTACAGTGTTGTCACTTCTTCCCCCACCCGTGGTCACATTTCAGGAACTCAGCATGGTGGCCATTTGCAGTGCCCACATTATGATGTTTACTTCCGGTTTTGCGTGAGTCCAAGCTGGCCCTGACAGTCTTTTTCTGCTCTGGATAAGTAGGTGACGCTGTTGTGTATTGTGCTGTCTCAGAGGCCACAAATAGAAGAGGATGCTTGCAATGTGGGGTCCCTGATACCCTGTTTCCTTGCAGACGTTATCATGACCCAACTAGGTAACGTGATCAATGCTAGGAAGGGGGGGGGGTTGATGTCTGTTTATAAATGAGTAGCTTGCCCTGTCAGTGTGGGTGGGTATATAAATAGGGAGCAAACTCTATTCCCTTGAGGGTCTGATGATGTTACCTAGTTAGGTTATGAAAGGTCTACAAAGAAAACACAAGTGATGGTCAAGGACCCCATAATCCTCCTCCTCCTCATCCCTTCTAGCACTGATGATGTTACCTAGTTGGGCCATGAAACGTCTGCAAGAAAACCAGCCAGCTCAGAGAGCACCAAGGACCCTGCAGTCTTTCTTTCTTTCTTTCTTTCTTTCTTTCTTTCTTTCTTTCTTTCTTTCTTTCTTTCTTTCTTTCTTTCTTTCTTTCTTTCTTTCTTTCTTTCTTTCCCTCCCTCCCTCCCTCCCTCCTTCCTTCCTTCCTTCCTTCCTTCCTTCCTCCTCCTCCTCCTCCTCCTTGCTTGTAGCACTGATGATGTTCCCTAGTTGGGTCATGAAACGTCTGCAAGAAAACCACCCAGGTCAGAGAGCACCAAGGACTCCACAGTCTTTCTTTCTTTCTTTCTTTCTTTCTTTCTTTCTTTCTTTCTTTCTTTCTTTCTTTCTTTCTTCCTTCCTTCCTTCCTTCCTTCCTTCCTTCCTTCCTTCCTCCCTCCCTCCCTCCCTCCCTCCCTTCCTTCCCCCTTCTAGCACTGATGAGGTTCCCTAGTTGGGTCATGAAACATCTGCAAGAAAACCACTCAGCTCAGAGAGCACCAAGGACCCCACTGTTTTTTTTTCCTCCTCCTCCTCCTCCTCCTCCTCCTCCTCTCCTCCTCCTCCTCCTCCTCCTCCTCCTCCTCCTCCTCCTCCTTCTCCTCCTCCTCCTCCTCCTCCTCTTCCTCCTCCTTTCTAGCACTGATGATGTTCCCTAGTTGGATCATTAAACGTCTGCAAGAAAACCCCCCAGCTCAGAGAGCGTCAAGGACCCCACAGTTCTTCTTCTCCTCCTCCTCCCTTCTAGCAATAGCCCTTAGACTTATATACCGCTTCACAGTGTTTTACAGCCATCTCTAAGCGGTTCACAGACTCAGCATATTGCCCCCCAACAATCTGGGTCCTCATTTTCCAACCTCAGAAGGACGGAAGGCTGAGTCAACCTTGAGCTGGTCAGGATTGAAATGCTGGCAGCGGGCAAAGTCAGCCTGCAAAGCTGCATTCTAACCACTGCGCCATCACGGCTCTTTGGTCGCCCTGATGATGTTCCTTGGTCAGGTCATGAAATGTTCACAAGCAAACGGCGAAGCTGAGAGAGCATCCAGCATCCCAGGGTTGATAAGAGGACAGGAGAGGAGAGGAGAAAATAAGATAAGATAAGATAAGACAAGACAGTGGTTCTCAACCTTTTTAATGCCGCGACCCCCAAACCGGTCGTAAGTCGAGGACTACTCAACCGGTCGTAAGTCGAGGACTACTCAACGGGTGCAGCACCGTTTGCAGAATGGGACTTTTGGCGGGCTCAGCAGGGCAGAGACAGCCTGGACAATTCCTATTGGCTTTTGAAAGCCAATAGAATTAGACTCTATTCAAGAGACTCTATTCTATTGGCTTTCCAAAGCCAATAGAATAAAAGGGAGGAGCACAGCTAAGGAAAAGGGGAAAAAATGGCGGACTGCGTCATTTGGCGACCCCTGTGAAATGGTCATTTGACCCCAAATGGGGTCCCGACCCACAGGTTGAGAACCACTGAGATAAGATAAGATAACCTTTATTGTCATTTTTTTTTACTGTGGGCACAAGGGCACACATCAAAAATGAAATTGAGTTGCCCGCTCTCAAGATACAAATATTCTGTTCTATGGTGCTCCTTGCAACTCTCCTCCGCTCGTCCCGAGCCCTGACCCCGGGCTAAACATGCAGACTCACACCTCTGGACTAATGGACAGGTTGTGTCTTTCTCCCTCCAGGTTGTTGGAAGAAGGTGTTAACGTGAACACCCGACACAAACTTGGCTGGTCTGCTCTGATGGTAGCCGCGATCAACAGAAATTCAAGGTCAGTAATTAAAAACGCTAGAACGACACAAACCGTTCCCCAAATTCACACAAATTGCGGGGGGGGGGGGGGGAAAGGTTCATAGATAAAAACAACCACAAAAAGCCCTGCCGTTCTGGGAAAAAGCATCTCATCCCTGGCCTGGAACTGAAATTGTATTTGAAGGAAACTGTCTGGCCAGAATTCCAGGCTAGCCAAGCAAAATGATTTCAGAATTTCCATACAAGAAGTCCTCGACTTTACTTCAGTTCATTTAGTGACCGTTCGAAGTTACAACGGCAGTGAAAAACATGGCTCGGGGCCATTTTTCACACTTACGTCCCCACAGTCACGTGATCAAAATTCAGAGGCTCGGCAACTGGCATGTACTTGTGACGGTTGCAGTGTCCCCGGGGGGAGGGTCACGTGATCATCTGTGACATTCTGACAAGCGAAGGCAAGGGGAAGCCGGATTCACTTCACAAGAGTGTTACTAGCTTAAGCGCTGCGGTTTCACTTCACAACTGTGGCAAGAAAGGTCGTAAAATGGGGCAGGACTTACTTTACAACTGTCTCGCTTAGCACCAGAAATTTCGGGCTCAGTTGTGATCATAAGTCGAGGACTACCTGTGTCCTGGAGAACCTACTTCTGCTACTATTGGAGAATGGTGCCCAATAACATCATTACATGAGTGGGTTAATGTGTACTGATAAGAAGTAATAAAGGCATTACGAGGCCGACTCTACTTATGAAAAGTTATGGCACAATCACTTGAATAGAAGAGAAGAGAAATACAGAATAGAATAGAACAGAACAGAATTACAGAATAGAATAGAATAGAATAGAATAGAATAGAATAGAATTCGGAATTCAAGTAGAATTTAGAATAGAATAGAATTTAGAATAGAAAATGGAATACAATAGAATAGAATAAAAATAGGTATAGAATAGAATAGAATAGAATAAAAGTAGGAATAGAATAGAATATCTTTATTGTCACTGTGTAACTCACAACAGAATTAAGTGCTGTCCACTGTGCACACTACACAAAAGTAAAAATCACAAATAGCATACATTATATACACATATCCTTCACAGTCTGTTCAAACTTCTTCCTTCCTTCCTTCCTTCCTTCCTTCCTTCCTTCCTTCCTTCCTTCCTTCCTTCCTTCCTTCCTTCCTTTCCTCCTTCCCTCTCCTCCTCCCTTCCAGCACTGATGATGTTCCCTAGTTGGGTCATGAAACATCTGCTAGAAAACCACCCAGCTCAGAGAGCACCAAGGACCCCATTGTCTGTCTGTCTGTCTTTCTTTCTTTCTTTCTTTCTTTCTTTCTTTCTTTCTTTCTTTCTTTCTTTCTTTCTTTCTTTATTTCTTTCCTTCCTTCCTTCCTTCCTTCCTTCCTTCCTTCCTTCCTTCCTTCCTTCCTTCTCCTCCTCCTCCTCCTCCTCCTCCTCCTCCTCCTTCAGCACTGATGATGTTCCCTAGTTGGGTCATGAAACGTCTGCCAGAAAACCACCCAGCTCAGAGAGCATCAGGGACCCCCACAGTTCGAGCACAAGCTGCAGATATTCTATTCTATTTATTTTGGTTTTTCTCCCCCCCCCCCATTTTCCTGGATTGGCAAAGCTGTCCAGCCAGCGCCCTCACGCCCCCCCCCCCCCGTGAGTTCCCAAGACAGTCACCCGTCCTTTCAAGCCAGCTCTCCACAATGCCTTTGGTCCACAACTAAATTCAATTAACTTTTATTTCAAAGCCAAGCCAAAGAGGGAGAAAGAAATCCAATTTGGGGGGGGGGGACGTGGGACAGACGGCTGGACGGGGCTTTGATGTCGCAACCTCTCAGCGCCGCTTGACTTAGTCACAAGTTCATAAGCAAAAAAAAAAAGAGGCTTAATGTTTTGGGAAAACACTGGATTAAACGGGGCGGACAAAGGCCGAATATCCGCTCTCGGGCGACACACTACGAATCCGTGTGCCGAGATCGTGTGTGGTGAAAACTTTGATGTGCGCCATGACAAGCTGAAAGTCACGACCCTTTTGGGGAAGCCCCCCCCCAAAAAGGCGGGAGCCTTGAATCTGTTTGTTCAACTTTGATGTCCCAACAGCCACAGGTCCTCTTGTTTACACGGCTGTGCAAGGATGGCTTTAGCACTCCGTTTGCACTTTTCACCAGTGGACAATGGTCAGCAATGGAGTGTGACCGTTGTTGACCCATTCCGAGGGGCCAGCGGAGCAGAACAAGGTTTTTGGAGGTGCAAAGAGGCTGTTCATGCTACAGCAGTTTAGCCCAGATGGTCCTCCGTCCCAGCCTCTCTCGCATTTTTTTCTACTGGAGAAATATTCCCTCAGCATCTCATTCCCGTCTGGTTTAACCAGCATGGTCGAGATCTGTGGTAAATAGACTTTTCTTAGCAGAATAACAGAGTTGGAAG